TGGAACTCACTCTGTAGACCAGGCTGGCCTCGAACTGAGAAATCCGCCTGCCTCTGCCTCCCAAGTGCTGGGATTAAAGGCGTGCACCACCACCGCCCGGCCAGGCCTGACATTCTTAAGTTCAATTCCCAGGACCTACATGGCAGAAGGAGAAAACGATTCCCACAAGTTGTCCTGTGACTTCCACATATGAGCTATGAAATGCACACACTCTGCCACTACTACACACACGTAAATAAATATAATTAAGATATCTGAAGTAAGTGTGAGAGAGATTAACATCTGTTAAATCTGGGTATATTATATATACTATACTGAATAGTATAGGCCTTGGGTGTGGTGATGCACGCTGGTGACAGAGGTGGGCAGACGTCTGAGCCCACTCTGGTCTACGTACCAGGTTCTAGGGTACTCAGAAAGACTGTCTCTGGAGCCAGAGGAAGCGGAGGTGGAAGGATTGTGGGAGCTAGAGGGACTGAGACACCGGGAAAACAAGTCTTTCCTAGCCAACTGAGCAAAGCTCATTTGAACTCACAGAGGCTGAAGCGGCAAGCATAGCGCCTGCACAGGTCTGTACCAGGTCCTCCTGTGTGTATGTTGTAGCCTTCAGTTTTGTGTTTTTATGGAACTCCTGAGTGTGTGTACCTATGTACAAGTGGGTCTCCGGTTCTTGTGACTTTTCTTGTAGCTCCTTTCCTTTTCTCGGTTCGCCTTCTCCAACTTCAGGGTATTGGTTTTTGTTTCATTATACTTAGTTTTGTCATGCTTTGCTATTTCTTAGAAACCTGTTCTTTTCCACTGAGAGTCAGAATGAGAGTGGGATCTGAGTGGGAGAGGGATGGAAGGAACTGGGAGGAGTAGAGGAAGGGGAATCTGTAAGCAGGATGCATTGGATGAGAAAAGAATATTTTTAATAAAAAAAAGAGGGGAAAGAATTTGGTATTAATAAACAGAAATAAAATTGCAATAGTGTTAAGAATATTGATAAACTTGATATTATAGAAGCTAAAAACCAATGACCTGCAGCTGTAAATGTTTGATTTTATCATGATGCTAAGAATGGTCAGAATGTCCATGTTATTCTAGCATCAGTCAAGCCCAAAAGCATTTGTCTACTGTTTTCCCTATTCTATTACAATTGATCAATTACATTGATCAATTATAAAATTATTACTTTAATTAATGAATTTTATAAAGAAGATTGAGAATACAACAAATATAGTTCTCTCTCAGTAGAAAAGGCAATGCAGTGGAGGCTTCCCACAGATGCCGACACCCAGAGGGTGCTTGTGGTTCCTTTTTTTGGATGTAAATATTATATAACTAGTTGTTAAATTGTCTTAGCAATAATAAGATCTGTACATAATTAGTATAAAAAAGACTGTCTCAAGAAAAATAAATAAATGAATAAAAAGTAAGATTAAATAGTATAGGCAATGTGTTAGGGAACTGGAGGGACCTCTTTAGGATGGTTGGTGTCTGTGGGGCCGACTTAGGTACACTGTGACCTGAATAGGAAGGAGTGCCTCATGCAGAGGATGTGGGAGATAGGCTCTGCTGAAAGGTTCAAGTGTGACATTCACTAAAGCAACAGGAAAAAACCCATCTTAAGCATGAAAATGTGTGAGCTGGCTACACTGATAGAATTCTACTGGCTGGCTGGAATTCTAGGACTTCGTTCGTACTCAGGGGCAGGAGGGTCACCAAAAGTTTCAGGCCAGCCAGGGCTATGAAGTGAGAGCCTGTCTCCAAAACAAAAAGGAAAGCGTCAGTTTGTAAGACAAGTTGCAGTATTCATTGGTAAAGTGTCCCGTGAACAGAATGCAGACAGCTAGATGTGCAGACAGCTAGATATGGAGGGCTAGGCCTGGGAGACTTGGGAGACTTGGAGGCAAGATCAGAAGTCGAGGCTAGCTTCCACTGCATCGTGAGTTTGAAGTCATCTTGGGCTACATGAGAACCCTGTCTTGAAAAAATAGAAAAGAAAATGAAAGCAAAAATTATTCATATTTTCAGGCCTTGAACTTGTTCTCCTTTAGAGAGGCAACCCAGTTCAGTGTTTAAGAGCATGTTTTCTGAAGCCAGATCATCTAGGTTCGAATCCCAGTTCTATCATTTAGGGGCTACCACTGTCTGAAAGTACTGCTCCAGCACGTTACACTGCAGACGTGTTTTATCAGTTTCCCACAGTGCTGCAACAAGTGACTGTGCACTGGGTAGCTCAAAAAAGAACAAGTACATTGCCTTACAACTTCAAATGTCAGAAGTCTGGATGGATATCTACTGGAAAGCTCTGGAAAGAAATGCTTCCTTGCCTTTTCCAGTTTCTTGAGCTCAGCTACATTCCTTGACATATGTGTCCACTCCTTTAAATGTTTTATTATGTGTATGTATATGTCCATGTGTGTGCACATATCACTTATGTGCAAATGTCTATGGAGGCCAGAAGATATGGGATCCCTTGGAGTTATAGGTGATTGTGAGCTGTCCTGAGTGGGTACTGGTAACCAAACAGTTCTCTGGAAACACAGTCTTAGTTAGGGGTTCTATAGCTGTGATAAAACACCAAGACCAAAAATAACATTTTCAGCCTCTATCCATCAGGGAGATCAGAGCAGGAACCCGGAGGCAGGAGCTGATGCAGAGGCCTTGAGGAGTGCTGCTTACTGGCTCCCTCCCCATAGCTTACTCTTTCTTGTAGCACCCGGGACCATTTGTCCAGGGATGATGCCACAGTGGGCAGGTGAGCGGCTTCTACATCAATCACTAGTAAGGAAAATGCCCACAGACTTGACTGTAGGCCAATCAATTAACAGTTTTGTTCCCAGATAACTAACTTGTAATAAATGGAAAACAAACTAGCCAGAACCAGCAGCAACTCTTAACACTGAGCTGTCTCTCCGGCCCTGGTATGTCCCTGTCATTAAAAGCCAGCAACATTGTATCTCTCCACTTCCTAAGTGCTTCTGCCCTCCCCACTTCTGCTTTTAAAAGCACTGATTTGATTATGCTAGGTTTACTCAGATAATCTAGGATAATCTTCCTATTTTAAGGTCAGTTTTAAATTAGGTTGATTAGCAGCCTTCAGTCCATCTGCAATCTCAGGTCCCCTTTGTCACCTTTGTAACCTAACCTAGTCTCAGGACCCAGGGTTAAGTCATGACTATTTTGGGGGGATTATTTTTTGCCTAGACTTCTCTATCTAAATTAAAGTAACGTGAAACAGTTGAGGGCAGGAGAAGATGATTCCAAATGCGGCTGATACGAGTCGGATCAGTAATTGTGTTTGAACGCTGAGCAACTGCTGCTTTCTAACTCTCATTAGCATAAAACATGCTAAGTTCTGTATTAAGAGCGATTTGAGCCGGGTGGTTGTGACACACATTTTTAATCCCAGCTCTCTGGAGGTAGGAGGATGGAAGATGAGGATCTCTGAGTTTGAAGCCAGCCTGGTTTACAGAGTAAGTTCCAAGACAGCCAGGACTATACAGTGAAACCCTGGTTTTTTTGTTTTTTTTTCTTCTTTTGTTGATGTTGTTGTTTTGTTTGTTTGTTTGGTTGGTTGGTTTTGGTTTTTCAAGACAGGGTTTCTTTCTCTGTATAGCCCTGGTTGTCCTGGAACTCACTCTGTAGATCAGGCTGGCCTCGAACTCAGAAATCCACCTGCCTCTGCCTCCCAAGTGCTGGGATTAAAGGCGTGCGCCACCACTGCCTGGCGAAACCCTGTCTTGAAAAAAAAAAAAAAATTAAAAAAAGTGATTTGATGAAAGGCAACTAAGTTTTAATTACATCCTGGAAGGGAACTGGTGAAAATATTAGAGATTTATTTCAGTTGTTTCATTCCAGAATGTTATAGGACAGTTATATTAGTGTTTCAGACACCAACAGGACTGTTTGGTTTCAGACCCTGGGACAAGGGACACATTTTACACTCCAAAGCAGACCTGGCCTCCAGGATCTCCCAACATCCTTCAGTCCATACCCTGGGGACTGGGCTGCCCTTTCCCCAGAGGCTTCCCTATGTAATCCAGACATTTTGGTTTGGTCTCTCCTCTCCTCTCCTCCTCTCCTCTCCTCTCCTCTCCTCTCCTCTC